AGGTCTAGAAAGTAAAGCAAATCTTACATGCTATGGTTCAGAGAATAGAGAGTAGTTTAGAGAATGCCACTGCAACAGGCTGAATGGTATCCCCCTAATGATATTATTTCCACTTCATCATGCCTGGAACATGTGACTATTAACTTAATATGGCAAAAGAGTGAATGTTACTGTAAATGGCAAACAAAAAAACACATATGATTAAGAATTTTGAGAGAAGGCCCTTATCCTGGATTATCTAGGTGGGCCCTAAATCCAAAGACAAGTGTCCTTATAAAAGTGAGGCAGAGGGAGATTTGACAGAGACAGAGGTGATGTGAAGATGAAGGCTGAGATTGGAGTGATGGAGCTACAAGCCCAGGAATGCCAGGGCAACCCCCAGAAGCTGAAAGAAGCAAGGAACCATTTCATCTCTAGAGCCCCCAGAGCGAATGTGGTCCTCCCAGATTTTACATTTCTAGATTCCAGAACTGTTGTGAGAATAGGTATCATTTGTTTTAAGCCACCATATTTGCACGAATTTGTTACAGTAGTCTTAGGAAACTAATATAAACACTAAGACTATAGAACTTTTAAACAGTTTATTTATTTAGGGGTGCCTGGGTGGTGCAGTTGGTTAAGCGTCGGACTTCAGCTCAGGTCATTATCTCACAGTTCGTGGGTTCGAGCCCCGCATCGGGCTCTGTGCTGACAGCTCAGAGCCTGGAGCCTGTTTCGGATTCTGTGTCTCCCTCTCTCTCTGACCCTCCCCTGCTCATGCTGTCTCTCCTTCTCTCTCAGAAATAAATAAAACATTTAAAAGATTTATTTATTATCTTTGAGAGAGCGAGAGCAGGGGAGGGAGGGAGGGAGGGAGGGAGAGAGAGAGAGAGAGAGAGAGAGAGAGAGAGAGAATATCCCAAGCAGGTTCCACACTGTCAGTTCAGGGCCTGATGTTTGGCTAGAACCCACAAACTGAGATCATGACCTGAGCTGAAATTAGGCATCAGACATCTATCCAACTGAGCCATCCAGGTGCCTCAATACTATAGAACCTTTTGATCCAAAAGTTCATTAAATTGGTGGTGGGTCAGAATAGAGCTGCTTAGATATAAGACTGGTTTCTTGAGGGAGAATGTGGGCAGTAGAATGTTGTGCTTACATCCCTGCAGACCTCTCTGAGATATTTAATACTACTAAAAATCCAGGAAGTAAATAAAAAAATCAGAAATTGGGTAATTTGGAGAACAATCTCATACTTGCTTTGACAGACTCTTTGGATTGGGGCTGGGATCTATTCCCTTGGTGTAATATGTGCACTTGGCTCTCCTGGCTGAGAAGTAGACCACAAATTGAACTGTGACAAGTAATACACTCAAATGTTGTTTTATCAATAGGTTGTGCTGGTGATATTTGGGGAGCTAATTATTTATATATCTTATTATATATACTATTTACATTTAACTTTATATATCTAGATGTAAATGTAGATATAGATATAAATATAGACATAGATACACACATACACATACATATACATCACATGAAAAAATGACAAGGTTTAGACTATAGATCATTGGGTCAAGTCCAATATATTTCTATCCAAAAATAACCAATATGATAAATATTGGTTGATAATTCTCAATCTTGTTCAGTCTCTCCACAACCCTCTTGAAGCCCATCAGCTCTCTGGGAGGTGAATTATGCATCTGAAGAAGGCAAGTCACCCTGGGTTTCTTTTCAGGCCCAGACCCTCACAGAAGGTAAGGAACATACATATCCATTTTCAGAGAAACAGAAATTAGGAAAGATATTGGTGGAGAAAGGAAGGGAGAGATGAACTGGGTAAATTCATTCAGACTAGATACACCCAAGGGACAAACCAAACAAATAAAAGTGGGGCAAGGAGAAAGGATGCACAACAGTCATTAATTCTTAGTGGTTAAGAGCTTGGTAAAGATGTATTCATACATCATTACAATATATTTAAGTAAACATTATATACATAGTACACATGCTCTGTTGCTCTCAGTATCTAACTAGTATTTCTCAACTGAGAAATATACTGGAGGGACTTCTTTTAAAGGAAAAACATTCCCTTAGATTCAGGCATTTATGTAAATTATGTTTATAATATTTCTTAAATGTAAACAAATATAAAACTAAACAGAAACTCTGCTTTTCATAAAGCTCTTATACAAATTTAACACCAAAGGAAATTTACAAATTGTGCACAAATGAAAAATATTAATTTAATGTGGTACATGATATTTGCTGAGACAAAACTGCTTTTAGAAACCTGAACATACTACTGACTGGCCAGTGTGTGTTCTTGGCCTTCAACAAGCTTGTATGTGAGTCTTGTGAGGACTCAGCTTTCCCATCACTTTCCTTTTCCAAACTACCAGAAAATCTTCATCTGTATAGTCGGCTATGAAGAGGTACACCTAATTTATTTTCTCACTTGTTTATGACAATTAAAGTAGTATTGTTGCCAATTTGATTTTTAAAACAGGCTCAAATGCATGTCCTAAATATGTGGCAGCGGTTAGTTACCTTTCGTCATCCAGACACTCCAGAATATGCTTAAAATTTAAAGTAAAATTAAAAAATATTTGTAAAAAATTCACAGACTCTGTCCTTAGTCTCCAGTTTGAAAAACACTGTACTATAGTTGGGGAGAAGGAGGGAGGCAAACTCTTGAATGCTGAGAACAAACTGAGGGCTGATGAGGGTCGGGGGGAGGGGAAGGGGGGTGATGGGCATGGAGGAGGGCACTTGGGATGAGCTCTGGGTGTTATATGGAAACCAACTTAACAATAAACTATTTAAGGAAAAATAAAGAAAAACACTGTGGTATTATTACAGTATGTGTAAAAAATATATATGTTTAGACTATTTTGCTAGCTTTTTATTAATACTTTCAGGTGCTATTACCTGAGTGCCTACATTATTTTTTTAAGTTTATTTATTTTTGAGAGTGAGAAAGCAATGGAGGGGCAGAGAGGGAGAGAGAGAATCCCAGACAGTCTCCACACTGTCAGCACCGAGCCCAACTCAGGGTTCAAAGTCACCATCCGTGAGATCATGACCTGAGCTGAAATCAAGAGTTGGATGTTCAAGGGACTGAGCCACCCAGGGGCCCCTTGGGTACCTACATTATTATGCAGCACTTGACTTCTGTTTCATTTGGACAATTAATTCTCTTATTTGTGGGGACTAAGCCATGTCCCATTCAGGTTCACTGGGAATGGTGCTTTGGGGACCACAAGTCAAACCATTATTATCCTCACATGCATGATTTTTAAATTAAATGAAAGAAGACAGGTACACTCAACAGTTAGGTAACCAAATAACTGAAGCAAGACAATATATAAATTTTAAAGGAGTGGTTCAGTTGTTTTCATTATAAATTGCATTGGTAGGACATGGCACGATTAAGACTGTGTGAGGCTTGTGTGTGACAACTCCCTACTTCTCTCAACTTTTCTCCTTCCCTTACTCTTGGGCTCTTTCACCCTTTCTTTTTTTCCCCACCTACTTTAGTTTTACTTTTCCCCCAAAGTTCAATGTCATGAGTTTTTCCATAAAGCTAAATATATTTAACGGCATTTTTCATTAAGAGATTATGCCTTTCTCATTTTTATATGAAAATGTGCTTCCTTCTATAAAATAGTAGTTTAAAATAATATCTTCAGGGGCACCTGGGTGGTTCAGTCAGTTAAGCCTCTGACTTCAGCTCAGGTCATGATCTCATAGTTCATGGGTTCAAGCCCAGACTCTGGCTCTGTGTTTGACAGCTAGAGCCTGGAGCCTGCTTCAGATTCTGTGTCTGCCTCTCTGCTCCTGTCCTGCTCATACTCTCTCTCTCTCAAAAATAAATAAACATTAAAAAAAATTTAAACTCTTCATTTGGCAAAATAAGAAATTGACAATCTTGTGTTTTCCTCCGAATATTAAAAAAATTTTAACATGTCCAAGATCAGCACCCACTTGTCTGGAAAACAAAGAGAAGAGAAAGAGGACAGGAAGAAAGAATGGTATGTAATATCTAATAAGTCGACTTAAGTTAAATGTTAAGTGCCATAATACACTTTCCACTGGAGTAGGAATATGTGAGACTCATTTGGGAGTCAGGGAAGGCTTCATAGAGGAGGTAACATTTGAGCTGGGGCTTTAAGGATTAGCAGGGGAGAAAAGGCAGGGCATTCCAAGCAGAATGCATAATGTGAGCAAGAGCACAGAGCACAAAAGAGCACTACGTGTCCAGCAGCTCTGAGTAGCCTGGTGACTGTTGTGTAGAGTTCTCAGGGTTAGAAGATCAGAGGTGAGGCGGGAACTATTTTTTTTCCTACTTGGCCAGTTTCCCCTACAGCTCATTGCACAGTGCTGGGCACACACACTGCAGGGACTGAATATAAATACTCACTGAATTGGGACAGGGTAGCCAAGTACGCTGGGAACCAGGACATCTGGATACTTTCTCACGCACTCGCAGTGTGACCTTGGCCAAGTCCCTTTTCTCAGGGCCGCTGCTTGCTGCTTAGTAATCAGCCCTGGGTGAGAAAACTGAGGCGGTTGGCTTCAAGGGCCTTGCCTTTCCAGCGTCTGGAATCTGATTCGACGCATCTAGGGCGGGGAGGGCGGAGGTTCAGTTCCTCCTCCGCTCCAGCAGGGGGCACAGGGAGCGACTTCCCGCCGCCGGTCTCCTCCCGGCGGGCGCCAGGCGGACTGCAGCAGTTGTGAACAGTGAGCGCAGTGGGCGGGCCGGGCGGCGGCGGCCCTGCGCTGCGCTTACTGGGCTGGGCCGGGCAGCGACGGCGACGGAGACGGCTTGCAGAGGCCAGTGAGGCGCTGACCGGGTGGCCAGCCGGCTGCTGTGGTCTCTAGCAGCCTCTTCGCGCGGCCAGGATTCCCGGGCGTCGTCTGGCCGTGGCGCTCAGCCTGCTGGTGAGCTGCGGTGGGCACACCCCGGCGCGGCGGCGGCGGCGGCGGCGGCGGCGGCGGACAGGTTAGAGTGGGGGAAGGGGCGGGCGCGGGAGCAGCCCGGGGCCAGAGAGGGAGCCCGAAGCCAGGCGGTCTCCAGCCATGTCCGACGAGGCGTCGGCCACCACTTCGTACGAGAAGTTTCTAACCCCCGAGGAACCCTTCCCTCTTCTGGGACCCCCTCGCGGGGTGGGCACCTGCCCGAGCGAGGAGCCAGGTTGCCTGGACATCAGCGACTTTGGCTGCCAGCTGTCCTCTTGTCATCGCACCGATCCGCTCCACCGCTTTCACACCAACAGGTACGAACTGCCGCAGAGGGGAGGGGCAAATCACACCCCTGCCTCAAGCTGGAGAACGCCAGGTCCCTCAAGAGCCAGGCGTTCCACCTCTGGTCTGCGCTTCCATTCGTCCCCTCCCCCACCTTCGTCCTGCCAGCGCTCATTCACTGGCTCCTTCCCTCTCTCACTCCCTATGTTCACTCCTGCCCTCCAGTTTTCCTTTCTGCGGCATTTTACTCGCTCTCTTTTCCCCATTCTTCTGACCACAGCGACTCCTCCCTTCCCCTCCCGCCTTATCTGTACCCTGAGAATTCCAAATCCCCGCCCTCGATTTTAAGATGCATCCCTGTTTCCATCCACCTGAAAAAGTTTAACCCCTTCCATTTCCCATACACTCTAGAGTAGATTTCGGATGACTCAAAATCAATCCATGGATCTTTTGAAAGATGACACTTTTAAAGCTAGAATCTTCCCTTTCCTGATTTTTAACCTCACAGTCCAATTTCCACCCCCCAATTTTTTTTTTTTTTTTTTTTGATGAGGGTCTAGGAAACCAGGCCGTTCTTTCTTTTCCCCATCCTCATGAACTCTTTGCTTTACTGCTTTAGGCCCTGCCAAAATGTATAAGCTTAGATCTGGAAGGTTCCTTCATGTAGTATATCCCTTGGTTTGCTCCCCCAGTGGAGGGATGGAGCTAAGCTTAGGATGGGCTTGCTTTTACAAATTTATTCAGTGGGTGCGTCTCCTAACTGATATTATTGGAAGGAAGATTGTTCTGGAGAATTCCATCATGGAAGCATTTAATTGTTATACCAAATATGGGGTTTAAAGATGTTGTACACAGAGGTCCATCCATTAATATAGGTGGATATTTGGGAGATATATACCAAAGCCTGGGAGGGTGTGTGGCGAACAAGGGAGGAGGAAATGAGTTCAGTTATGGAAAATATTGGAGTTGATTTAAGGAGTCGAGTTCTGATTTCTGATCCACAACATGAGCATGAACATCCTTACACATTTTAATATCTTTTGCATGCCCCACACCTCTTAAATCAATCTGCAGATTTATGGAGTACAAGGAGTGTATAAAAAATGATTCTTATCTAAAAGAAATTTATAGTCTGGAAACAAGGTGTTACATTTAAAGAGTATCATCAGTATAACACATTTGACAAGGAAGTGTAGTACATTTGTTATGACTTTTCCAAATCCTCATTGCAAAACTGAGGAAACTGAGGCCCAGGAAAAAGACTGAGTTCAAGGTCATAAAACTGAGTTTGGCAAAGCCAAGATTATTTCTTTGGAGTAAGTGAAGAAACGGAACTGAGCTAATGGCTCAGATGTTGTAAATGGTTGTAACATCTGAGCCATTACAGATGTAAATGGTTGTTACATTTTTTAGACTAACTCACAGAAGCCTATTTAACCTAAGATGTGGCTATTACATAAGTGTAATGTATTTATGAAATCAAGTGTTCTTAGGGTTGTTTGCATTGGAAAATGATATAAAAGAATACTTTTGCACATATTTGGTATTTAAGTTCTGCAGCATTGGAGGGAGTCATATACACAGAAACTTAAATATTTGCAGAATTAGTCTGCTCTGATGATGAGGGCAAGGGAGTGGAGAAAGAGGCTGAGGATAAGCCCTGCCAAAATGGGTGGGGTGATGAGGAGTGAAACAAGGAGAATAATACATTTCTTATAGCTTGTTCTGTTCTTTCGCCTCCTCTCCATTTTTGTTCTTGTGTTTTTCTATTCCTTTTCTCAGAGATGGAGGTAAGGTCAAGACTGTTTTCCAGAAAGGGGCAGTTAATATAGAGTGGGAGGTTCCTGTTCAGCCCCAGTTTTTCTAAGTCAGACATCATTCCTAGTTTACTGCCTACTTTTCGGAAATCTCCATCTCCTACCCTACTTCTCCAATGGCTTGGAATGGCAGTAGAAGGTCTAATGTATTTTGCTCTGTACCCTTTCCAGCAGAGATAAGGGCAAGCAGAATTAGCAATATTTACATCCGATGATGTTTCTGCCCTACGCTACCTTTTAAATCTTTTCTCATTCTGGACTGTTCCTGCCTTACTACCCCTCCTCAAGATGGTACTTGAGAGGACCATATACTTCCACTACGTCTCAGACAAGCAAACAGTGTAGTCATATACGTAGGCAAAGTTTACAGAATTCTTTTATTTTGGCTTTCCATGTGTCACTTTTTTTCCTTCACATCACCAGTTCAAGCAACAATTCAAAAATGAGATCTGAATAGTTGAGTACTGATGTTCTGCTTTGGGTTTGGTCATCATAAAACACATTAACTTAGAAATAAAAAGCTTGTCTGTTGGCAGATACTTGATTTATGTTTATTTTGCTTCTTCCTTGTTACCTGATGAGAAAACTGTGGATATTGTTTAATATTGTTGATAAAGGCTTTCTGATGATGGCAGTTTTGTACCTGCTCATTTACCAGACTCTGGGCTATATTTGCGATCTTCATTAACCAAGGGATTTAAGGCAATATTATTTATGATCCCTAAGTTTGAATGTTTGTAGTGTGCGTATTAGAGTCACCTGCAACTTTGAACGGCCTGTCACTACTCTAGGTTCAGTGGAAAATTACACGAACGCAGCCACTTTCCTAACAAATCACACTTTCCTAGGAATATCTTTTAGAATTTTATGACCAAGTTGTGTTTGTCTGGAATTTTGCTTAGAATAAAGTAAATTCCAAGAAACTTAATTATTTTTAATTTAAATGTCAATACAGAATATGTGTGGTGTTTATGACATTTTTCCTTGGTTTTGAGACAGGATTTTTCTGATGTAATTATCAGCATTTGTCCATGGCAACCTCCCCCATTATCGAAAAAGGATGTCATTTACCAAACTGAAAAAAATTATGATGATCTTAGTTAGTCCAGGAATTAAATTGAAGGAGATTAATATAAACTACTCAATGTGTTGTTATTTTCATCTTTAATAGTACATAAGTACTTTGACATTGCACAATTGTGAAAAGCGTGTGGAAGGACAGTGCCCCACTTTTGTATACCCTATTGGCAGGATAGGAAATGAACTATTGTATAAAACAATCATTTGGTTATGTGATTAACCAGAAGAACCCCAAGACTACTGTGTACCTTTTGTACTCCCCACAGTTTCCCTATCTCGGTATAGAATTAACAGATGCAAAAGAGCTGTGAGTTGCAGGTGGGAGAACCACACTCCATGAAGTAACAGATTATAGAGGCAGGAGGAATTTGGTTTGCGAACTTGTTGAGACAAGTTGAGAATGGGGATCACGCTTGAGAGAACTATCCAGGCTAGAAATGTGGATTTGGGAGCATTCAGAACAGAAATCCCAGTAGCGTGTTTGGAGTACAACTGTGGGTTACAAAGGTTGAGAGAAGAAGAAACTTTTCAATTAATTTAGCAGGGAAAAGAAGGAGAGGAGATGTAATAATTTGAAAAAAAAAAAAGGTGAATGTTCGTTGTTGTTGTTGTTGTTATTTGCCTTATTTAGTTTTTCTTTTCCCAGAATAGAGATTTTAGCTCTTTAGGAGCAGCCCACAGGAAAGGAAGAAATTGAAATTACCAGAGAGTGTGGGATGACAGGAGATGGACGGGATGAAGTTAGACGCCCAAATGGAGTAATTAGCCTTAAATGACATGGAATTTTTTTTTTTTTTTTTTTTACTGCCTAGGCTGTGGAGAGGGTATCAAGACAGTTGAGATCACTAGGAGGAGAGTTGGTAATTTGAGTGAGTAGAGTAGGGGAGTTCTGTCATCTGCTCTTACATGGAACCTTAATGGCCTACTGTGCTGCTCCAAACTTGTATCAGAGGTTGGGGGTGGCTACATGGGGGTTTTGACAGATAAGCCTTGCAGATAAATGTTCTTGACTTTACGTTTTTTAAAGTAAAATTTGGGCAGCAAGCCTCATTATTGAATTAAACTCCATTGGGATTCTTTTCAACATTTTTCTTTTAAGATAGAAAGTCTTCTTTGTGAGTAATTTTATGGTTATAGCTAGGATCTTAGTATTAGGTAGCTTTCTCTTAGTGGAATAAGATGTAGGAGCTTTGTGGGTTTGAATAGTTCAGTGCTGAGCAAGCACATGTGCACAGTGGTCATTCATTACATATTTGAAACCACACTTAAATTTTTATTATAAAAGCTCATTTTAGATAATTGGCATATACAAAACTATAAAGATCACCTATGATCCCTTTCAGTAAGGAAAACAACTATCAACATTTTGATGTTGTTACTTTTAATATTCTTTTTATGTTCATATATAATTTTTAAAAATCAGGATCAGGTTATATAAAATTTGTGATCAGGTTTTTGCACTTACATTGTCAGTGTTTTCCTTTTCAAAAAATAATCTGAAAATATAAATTTATTGATTATAAAACACCATTACTTAGATATGTTATTTAGTTTTTCCCCATATTTGGGGACCATGTCTTTTCTCTTTATTGGCTATTATAAATGATATTGTTTGGTCATGTTTGTACATACATTTTTTCCCAAATTTCTATTTGGGGAAGTGATAGATTCCTAGAGGGGCAGGAATGAACTTCTTTGAAGCTCTTGATATATATACAGTGCCAAATTGCTTTTCAGGAAGAGTATGCCAATTTAACACTCCCAGCAGCAGTGGATAAAAAACTACTACCTAGGGGCACCTGGGTGGCTCAGTCGGTTTAAGTGTCTCACTTCAGCTGGGGTCATGATCTCGCAGTTCCTGAGTTAGAGCCCCATGTGGGGCTTTGTGCTGACAGTTCAAAGCCTGGAGCCTGCTCCAGATTCTTGTGTCTCCCTCTGTCTCTCTGCCCCCCCCCCACTTGTGCTCTGTTTCTGTCTCTCAATAATAAATAAACATTTAAAAAAAAGTACTACCTAGCTTGATTTTGTTCACATTGCCTTAAAGTAATAATAAAAATAATATTTGGAAATTAGAAGATAATAGATTATAAAAATCTCTGGTAGTAAAATATTAATTTTCTGTTTTGTAAATGATTGGTTTGAAGTATGAACCCAGTTTTGTTGCCACTGTTAATTTAAAAAAAGAAAAAAGAGCAAAGGCTTCTAACAATACCCAGAATCCTGTTAAATCTGTTAGAAAGTTGTGGACCTGGAAAACTGAGACACATACTGATTTTGCCTGTCAGTTAGAGTACAAAACCAAGCAAATTTCTGACTGTCTTGTCAGTGATCTAAACATTAGATTATTAAATCTAGCATAGTTTTTTTTTTTTTAAAAAGGAAAGCCATTATTACTCATGGAAACACATTTCTATGGAATTTTTGCCAGCTTAAAAGGAATTCTCGTTAAAAACAATTGACAAACAACTTTTCCTACCACATGACACAGTACATGGCACATAGAAGATATTAGCTAAATGTTTGTTGAGTGAGTGAATGAATAAAGGTTTTAAAAAGTCACATGCAATTTGAAGACACAAAAGAATATAATTTGCCTAGAATACAGCAGAGGTACTGGTTTACTAGGTCTAGGACCAATCTTGTGATTGCCATTTTATAGCTTTTATATCACCTTACTGTACATCCTGAACAACGTGGTTAAATCTGCTGCATTTGTTGATATTTTGAAAAATGAGAATACTGCCTCCCTAGGAAGCATGTGATGAATCTGTGTAATATTACAGGGTATTTTAAGATTGTTAGATGAATTTTAGATTTTTGCCTATTTATAAAAGCTTGATAACATCTGTGTTTATATTTACTGAACTATAATAGTTTAGAGAGTATGTGTCTGTGTGTGTTTTGATGCTTTAAAATATTCTACCTTTGGCTCAAAGGAAAAAGTGCCATAAAATTGTCAGATTGCCCAAATTTTGTAAATCAAGAACTTTGAAATTAAGATTAGTCATACAAAGCAGGGGGAGGTAAAAAATGAAAAGCATAATTTGAGAAAAAAGTGGATTTAATGAAGGATGAGAAACAACCTAATAATAGGTAAATAACATGTTTTTTTTCCCAGGAGGTCATTATTTCAGTATCTTATTAGTATGGGATATACTAAATCATTATCTTAAGGGTTAATTCCCTAGGTTACTGACAAAGCAATGGAGATTACCTCCTCCATAGTGTAAAGCTAGTGGAAATTTACAGAAGAAAACAGATTTGTAGATTTTGAGACAAAAAAGTAACCCTGCAACAAATAACCATAGAAAAATGTTAATATTCTTTAATGCATCAAGAAATCATAAAATCAATAAGGAAAACATTTAACACATAGAAAAACACTAGGGCACAATAGCTAATAAATACTTTAGAATTTGATCTAGCCAGAAATTAAAGAACTAAAAATTGATATAAAATGTTTTTTTCTTTAAAGATAGCTACAACTTTTAAAAATTCTGCTGTTAAGGTTGTGGTGAAATGAGCACTTTTTTTATACTGCTTTGGGGAGTGTAAATTGGTGCAGCTTTTCAGAAAGGTCTTTGGCTAAGTATGATATGACCTTCAGAAGTGTTCATATTCTTTGACTTAGTACTTTCTTTTCAAGTAATCTATCTTGAGAGATTATATATTTTGATAAATAATTATAACCAAAAAAGAATCATAACCCCCCAAATGGAAACAGCCTAAGTATTACTGAAGGAGTATGATTAAATAAATAATGATACTTTTTAATAGGGGAATATTATATAGGCATTAAAATGTTTTCAAGTTATATAAATGGGAAAATGTTTAATGTTAAGTGAAGAAAGCAGTATCTAGTATACTGTTTGTGTGTGTGTGTGTGTGTGTGTGTGTGTGTGTATGATTCTTTTTTTTCTTTCTGGCCCTACCCCACTCATGTGCATGTGCTTTCTCTCTCAAAATAAATAATTAAAATAGTAATAGCTATCATGTATTGAATACTTTTTATGTCTGCTAAGTGTTCCATATACATTCCTATATAATCTTCCTAATTGCTTCTTAAAGATGAGAAGCACAGACTTGAAGAGGGTATGTTTTGCTTGAGATCAAGTAGTAGTCAAATGATAGAGCAAGAATTTGAACTCTGTCTGACTTCAAAGTGTATTCATAAACACTATGCTGTAAGTTTTGATTATTGATTAACGTTTTACTGTATTCTTAATTTAAATACAGTATTTAATATAAATATATGTATATTTATTTATTTTAGAAAAAGCATGCAAGCAGGGGAGAGTGGCAGAGGGAGAGAGAGAATCTTAAGCAGATCCAAGCTCATTGTGGAGCCTGATGTAGGGCTCAATCCCATGACCCTGGAGTCGTGACCTGAGCCGAAATCAAGAGTGGGGCACTTAACTGCCTGAGCCATCCAGGCTCCCTTAAATACAATTTTCTTTTAAAATATTTTATTAGAGAAATTTTCAAAACAAAAACTAAACGGGATAGGGTAATGAACCTCATACATAGCTTCAACAATTATTCGTATATGGCAGTGTGCTTCATACCATTGCTCATTCCTCACACCCTTCTTATTATTTCAAGACAGATCCCAGATATATTTCATTCATAAATATTTTAGTGTATATCCTTAAAAGAGAAGGACTCTTTTGAAAATAATCATAATAGCATTGTCACACCTAAAAATATACTTACTCTTCATAAATGTATCCTATTAATATCTTAAAATTATATGAATTCTGTAGTTACTGTTGTAATTTCTTTTGTGTTGTGTTTTTAAGGTGGAACTTAACTTCTTGTGGAACAAGTGTTGCCAGCTCGGAATGCAGTGAGGAGCTGTTTTCATCAGTTTCTGTTGGAGATCAAGATGACTGCTATTCCCTGTTAGATGATCAAGACTTCACTTCTTTTGATTTATTCCCTGAGGGGAGTGTCTGCAGTGATGTCTCTTCTTCTATTAGCACATACTGGGATTGGTCAGATAGCGAGTTTGAATGGCAGGTAGATTTTGTGTTTTCTTATATTACCATCATTATAACATAAATAGAAGAATGAATTTCTATTTTGATATTTTCAGCTCTACCTCAAAGTAAATTTTCTTCAGTGTTTATCCAGTGTGGAGATTCTCTGACAACATTAAGAATTAGATGGAATATGTATTCTTTATTTTTGCTAATTTACCATTTAGGCTTCTGATGCTACAGATATCCTTATTTAGATTTTCATGTAATTTAATACTTGTATAATGTTCCCATTATTATATATCATCAGTACTTTTCTATGCATGAATTCAAGCAAATGTATTCTTCCTATATTATAGTAATAGCCTTTGTGTCCTTATAGGCACAATATCTTTGCATCAGGGTTATGTTCTATATATCTGGGATCTCAAACCATTATTATCATAAAAACGTAATTTTTAGGTTCTGTTATCAGCAATACAATATAATTTCTCATTTTTTATTCCCTTCATATGTAGAGATGTTTTTTTGTTCTATAGTTTTTTTCTTTCTTATGGCATATATACCATGTAAAATGCTTTGTGCAAATTATCTGGAAATTCTGCCTTATAATGAGTGCAGTCTGTCAGAAAATGTAAATCATGTTGCATTTTCCATTTGCAACATCCATTTTCTGATTGTAAAAAACCGTAACATTTGAAGCGGCTTTCCTTGCATATAGCAAATGTTATACTCAACAGATACATGAATGCCTACTATGTTTGAAAGCCATCCAAATCTTTGAAGTTATAGTCTAAAAGAGGAGTAAAATACTATTTTATTTTAAACATTTTCTTATTAAAATATGAAAACAGGCTGGCATGAAGTTAAAAATAAGTCTCCAAACCCCACTCTGCTATGGTTACCACTGTTAAGAGCTTGTGCAGATACAAGTATGTTTGCACAGTGTTAAAAACGCACAAATGGAATCATATGTCAGCCACGGTTTGGCCCTTTGCTTTTTATCAACTAACATCTGATTCTTTTCGATAGCTATATCATAATTTATTTAATCTGTTCCATAATAATGGATATTTAGATTGGTTTCAGTTTTTTCTTGTTATAAAAATGCTACACTGAAAATTAAATTTTCATTTTACTTTTTTAGATTTGTTTTTGAGAGAGAGAACATGAGCACAAGTTGGTGAGAGGCAGAGAGAGAGAGGGAGACAAAAAATCCCAAGCAGACTCCCTGCTGTCAGTGCAAAGCCCAATGTGGGGCTTAAACTCACCAACCATGAGATCATGACCTGAGTGAAAGTCAGATTCTCAACTGACTGAGCCACTCAGGTGCCCCTGTGGGTTCTCTTTTTACTTGATGCTGTCCTTTGACACACACAAAATTTTAATTTTAAAAAAGTTCAATTTATTTTCTCTGCAGTTAAAACCTTTTTGTTTGTTTGTTTGTTTCGCTTTGTGGATCATCTCTTTATTTGGTAGATGAGATGCTGCCTGATTCGTGAATGGGTTAATAAAGCCAATTAGATCTTCAGATTTAAAAAATGCTCTTTGTGGGACTACGTAATGAGCAGAAATTACCAACAAGACGATTACAAACTGTGTTAGGATTATTATAGACTAGAAACTGTTGACTATAATTTAAAAATTCCTTTGTTGTGATTAAAAACTATCTGTTTAAGTCTTTCTTTTTAACAGATGTTTCAGTTACTACCAAAGTAAATATAAAGGATTCATAGATTCTCTGGGAAGAGAAATACTAACTACTTGATAAGGCAGATTTTAACCTTAGAATGAAGTAGCATCAAAGCATTTGGCTTTGCTGATAGTTTTCTTTGCTTGCAGTCCTTTTATATTTAATGGTATATTTGACTAGTCTTAGAGCTTGAAAAATTATCTTACTGTTGAGCAGGGAACCATAGAAAATTTAAAGAGTGAGTAATTCAGCTGTCACACTTAAAACCTAAAGGTGCAATTTGAAATTACATGTCAGCTGTTACAGGAATGAGCTTATTCATAAATTGTTGCTGCATATGCAGAAAATATGGCAGAAATTTGATTTAATTCTCTCCACTTGTCACAATTACTGATTATAATATAAATATACTAAATGCTGTTGTCCATGAAAAATAGGGAGTAAGAATTATTAAGCATTTTTAGCTTGAAATATATTATCAGTTATAAAATGGAAAAGGACTGGTCTAATAAATAAAGGAGCCCATACAGTTAATTCTGATGTACATCTGCAACTCTTATCTCATATCTCCAAATGACTACTTGACATGGATGACCTTATAATTTAATGCACCTATTATCTGATGCTGATTTCTTGATCAGTAATGTAACTTCCAATTACAGTGTTTCCATGGGAAAAAATAGACTCCACTTTGTAACATGTCTTATGGTGTAGTGAAAAAAGACTATTATCATTTCGAAGGACATTTGCACTTCTTTCATTATCAGTACAAACTCTCCATATCCCAAATTGCATTCTCCTCTCATTCCAAACTCCTTGCAAGGCAGGGTGATTATGCATAGTTGAAAGCACTGGACTTGTGTCCTGCTTTGGATACAGCCACTAGCTGTATGATCCTCCCTAGACATCATTTTTCCTTATGTGTAAAATCAGAGTGTTGGACTGGAAGATTTATAACATTAATTCAGGTCTCTTGCTGTAAAAATTGAGGTCTTCAAGTACATACACTGGATGGGTTGGTTGTATGACAGGAACGTGGCCAGTTTTCTTCTGCTTTCAACAAATGGTCGTCCCTTATCCATTTAGTTATCAAACTGCCTTGCCTGGCAAGCTCAGTCAAGAGCATGCAACTCTTGAGAAGGACAAATACCATATGTTTGCACGTATAGGAGGATTAGGAGGAACATAACGGAGGACCAAGGGGGAGAAGAAGGGGGGAAATATTGGGGAGAGGGAGAGAGGCAAACCATGAAAGACTCTTGAATACTGAGAACAAACTGAGGACTGATGGGTTTGGGGGGGGAGATGGGCATGGAGGAGGGCACTTGTGGGAAGGAGCACTGGGTGTTATATGGAAACCAACTTGACAATAAACTATTTGTTAAAAAAAATTTAAAAAAAGCATGCAACTCTTGATGTCAGGGTTGTGAGTTGGAGCCCCACAATGGGTTTATTTAAAACCCATTTTATTTAAAAGATTATTTAAAAATAAAATCTTAAAAAAACAAAACAAAACAAAAAACCAGACAGGGAGCCTGGGTGGCTCCAGTCAGTTAAGCGTCTGACTTTGGCTCAGGTCTTGATCTCGCGGTTTGTGCGTGTGTTCGAGCCCCGCGACAGGCTCTGTGCTGGCAGCTCAGAGCCTGGAGCCTGCTTAGGATTCTGTGTCTCCCTCTCTCCTGCCCCTCCCCTACTCATACTCTGTTTTTCTCTGTCTCAATAATAAATAAACATAAAAATAAATTTTAAAAATACAGCCTTGTAAATTGTTTTGCATTTGAAATTTTCCCTATTCCCATTTTCTTTGCATTTTGGTTAATCTTAGACCAAGTGCTAATCAAATAAGAACTTCCTGTGTAATTCCATTCTTTCATCAGTCTAATTTGTCCCCATAACTGCTTTTTAGCTCATCTTCCCTCAAGACCAGTTTCTTTTTTTTCGTCTGTTTGTCTTCTGTTTTTTTTTTTCTCTTAAATAGTTTATTGTCAAGTTGGTTTACATATAACACCCAGTGCTCATCCCCCAAGTGCCTTCCTCCATTCCCATCACCCCCTTCCCCTCTCCCCCACCCCTATCAGTCCTCAGTTTGTTCTCAGCATTCAAGAGTCTCTCATGGTTTGCCTCCCTCCCTCTCCCCAACTGTTTTTCCTCTTCTCCTTTCCCGTGGTCCTCATTAACTTCCTCCTAATCCTCCTATATGTGCAAACATATGGTATTTGTCCTTCTCTGCCTGACTTATTTCGCTCAGCATAACACCCTCAAGTTCCATCCATGTTGCTACCCATGGCCAGATTTCATTGTTTCTCATTGCCATGTAGTATTCCATGGTATAGATAAACCACATCTTCTTGATCCATTCATCTGTTGATGGACACTTAGGCTCTTTCCATGTTTTAGCTATTGTTGAGAGTGCTGCTATGAACATTGGGGTACATGTGGTCTTGTGCATCAGCATTTCTGTATCCCTTGGGTAAATTCCTAGCAGTGCTATTGCTGGGTCATAGGGGAGTTCTATTGTTATTTTTCTGAGGAACCTCCATACTGTTTTCCAGCTTACATTCCCACCAACAGTGTAGGAGGGTGCCCATTTCCCCGCATCCTCGCCAGCATCAAGAGTCTCCTGATTTGTGTATTTTAGCCACTCTGACTGGCGTGAGGTGGTATCTCAGTGTGGTTTTGGTTTGTATTTCCCTGATGATGAGGGACACTGAGCATCGTTTCATGTGTCTGTTGGCCATCTGGATGTCCTCTTTGGAGAAGTGTCTCTTCATGTCTTCTGCCCATTTCTCCACTGGATTATTTGTTTTTTGGGTGTGGAATTTGATGAGTTCCTTATAGATACTGGATACTAGTCTTTTATCTGTTATGTCATTTGCAACTATCTTTTCCTATTCTGTCAGTTGCCTCTTAGTTTTATTGATTGTTTCCTTTGCCATGAAGAAGCTTTTAATCTTGATGAGGTCCCAGTAGTTTGTTTTTGCCTTTGAGCTCAAGACCAGTTTCATCAAGTTACTTCTACTTAGAAAATGTTACTGGCCTACTTCTCTCTATCATATAACAGCTTGTTCATCAATTGAGCTTTCAAATCCCTAGCATTGATTTTCTGTTTTAATTATTTTAGTCTCAATCTCATCCTATTAAAATTTTTTTTTAACATTTATTCATTTTGAGAGAGAGAGAGAGTGAGAGTTGGGGAGGGGCAGAAAGAGAGGGAGACCTAGAATCCGAAGCAGGCTCCAGGCTCTGAGCTGTCAGCACATAGCCCAACGCGGAGCTCAAACCCACAAGTGGTGAGATCGTGACCGGAGCCGATATCGGACACTTAACCGACTGAGCCACCCAGGCGCCCCCCTATTTTTTTTTTAATTTGTGGCTTTACCAAGTTATTCTCCTTACCTGAATACCTTCTCCTTTTCCCCGTTCTGTCATTCTAGACTACCTTGTGAAACTTCACCCACTTTAGCAACAGGTGACATTCTCTGATGGTTTCTTGCCCTTTTCTAAGGGTACAAAACCATGGCAAGAGATGGATAAAGAAAAACACATCTGTGTTTGGAGTATTGCCTTGTACCAGGCCTGTTACCTCATTTAAATTTCTCAGCAATCTTTCAGCCTTAATCATAGCTCTGGGGCTCAAAGAAGCTAACTGACATCAACAAGATCATATGGCTTGTGAGCAGTGGAGCTGGGATTTGAACTCTGGCATTTTTTACTTCTCCCTGGAAAAAAAAATGGCTAAAGAACCATTAGTTGCCTTTTTTTTACAGACCCTCTGCAAACAAATACATAAACAGAGCTAAAGGCACAAATTGAAGTGCTTAACATATAGTCTGCTACCTAGCAGAAGTTTGCTGAAGATTTAGATGAAAATGTTTTCTTATATTTTGAGAGTATACATATTTTAGTAGTTCCTTTATCTAGTTTATCAAACGAACTTGAAGTAGGGAGGCCTTTTATCTGATAAGGACTGTTTCTTTTTGTTTTAGAAACCCCAGGGAGATCTTTAATGTAGTTTTGTGATTTGAACTCATTCAAAGGAAAAATAGCAAGATTTTTTTTTTTTTTTAATTTTTATGTTTTCTTTATTTCTAGGAGAGAGAGAGACAGCGTGAGCAGGGGAGGGTCAGAGAGAGAGGGAGTCACAGACCGAAAGAGGCTCCAGGCTCTGAGCTGGCAGTCAGCACAGAGCCCGACGCGGGGCTCGAACCCACAACCGCGAGATCATGACCTAAGCGAAAGTCGGACGCTTAACTGACTAAGCCACCCAGGCGCCCCAAGATATTTTCTTTTTTAAATGTTTATTTAGGGAAAGAGAGCACTTAACAGCAGGGCAGGGACAGAGAGAGAGAGAATGAATGAATATTCCTCTGTGCTGTCAACACAGAGCCTGATGGCGGGACTGGATCTCAACTGTGGGATCCTCACCCTAGCCAAAATCAAGATCTGGACACTTAACTGATTGAGCCTCCCAGAAGCCCCAAAACATTTTCTTTTTTGACATTAAAGGCTGAAAGATGGCCTTCACGTGTGCATTCAGCAGTCATTCTTTCATGACATTAACTAGATAACCTCAGAGCTAAAGAATGAACAAGTCAAGCAGTGTTGATTAATGAAGTTTTTTAATGTTTATTTTTGAGAGGAGAGAGAGAGTGCTTGCGTGTGCCTGAAGGTGGGACGGGCAAAGAGAGAGGGAGACAGACAGTTTGAAGCAGGCTCTACAATGTCAGTGCAGAGCCTGATATGGGGTTTGAACTCAGAACTGTGAGATCATGACCTGAACAGAAGTCTGATGCTTAACTGACTAAGCCACCCAGGCATCCCAATTAATGAGTTTTTAATGGAAGTCATACAAGTTGTTGATAGTCATTTATGCACTTGGATTCATCAGTGACTGTTAAAGTGAAAATGTGTTTTTTAATAGTAGTAGCTAACTTAAATAATTTCATTCTAAGCATTATGGTCATTTTGCATAGTGATCAACCCCATTTTTGTGTCTTCATTAGGTTCTTCTGTATAGCTGACTCCCCATGCCTGCCTTTTTGTAGCTCTCCTAAGCTTTCATCCTGTAGCTTTAACTCACTGCTAGATATTTCCACTGATGAGCTGTCATTTCAAATCTAGCATTTGTCATTTGATATTTTGTATAATTGTATGTTTGTGTTATTATATTCTCTTCCCCAGTGGAGAATAAAGTTTTTATGTAAGGACCATGATCAAAAAAAATACCTTTGAATCCTCTGTATTTATCAGAGTGCTATAGGTATTGTAGGAGGCCAAATGTGTGTGATTGCAATAATCTTCATGGCCAAACTAGCTTTTCTCTTTTGGTAACTTTAAAAGGCTAGTAATCATCCAGAGTTCAGATACCATTGCAAAGCAGAACAACAAAAAGCTGTTATTTTGTACCTTGTAAAAATGAAACCATTGTCTTTGAAAGCTATGCATTCCTTGTAGAAGAAATTATCTGTTTGATGAATGACTTAAATTTACTTATTTTAGAGAGAGAGAGAGAAAGAGCACATGAGCATGAGCTTGGGAGAAGGGCAGAGGGGGAAGGGGAGAGAGAGAGAGAGAGAGAGAATTTTAAGCCCCCAATGAGGGGGCTCGATCCCACAATCCTGAGATCATGACTTGAGCCAAAATCAAAGAGATACTTAACTGACAGCCACTCAGGTGCCCCTTCATTCATTCATTCATTCATTCATTCATTCTATTTATTTTCCTTAAATAGTTTATTGTCAAGTTGGTTTACATATTTTTAAGTTTATTTATTTAATCTCTACACCCATCGTGGGGCTTGAACTCATGACCCTGAGATCAAGAGTCCTCTGCTCCTCCAACTGAGCCAGTCAGGTGCCCCTAAATACATTTATTTAAAATTAAATCCATTTTGGGCCGCCTGGGTGGCTTAGTCGGTTAAGCGTCCGACTTTCGCTCAGGTCATCATCTCGCGGTTCGTGGGTTCGAGCCCCGCGTCGGGCTCTGTGCTGACTGCCAGCTCAGAGCCTGGAGCCTGTTTCAGAGTCTATGACTCCCTCTCTCTCTGACCCTCCCCTGCTCACGCTGTCTCTCTCTCTTTCTCCTAGAAATAAATAAAAAAACATTAAAAAAAATTAAATCCATTTTGACTTTTGGAGGTGATAGATCTATTACCTTGATTGTGGTGATGGTTTCATGGGTATATACATATGTCCAGAGTCCTCAGATTTTCTATATTAGTTATGTACAGTTCTTTGTATCACTTATAATTCAATAAAGCTGTTAAAAATTAAATTCATTCTAACTGGCTTTTAATAGGCAATATAAAATTATAGCACATCATTTTGTTATTCATTTCACTTCAAACTGATTTTCTGTGCATTGGGCTTTATTGTTTTCCTCCTTTGTCTACAGATTGTCTCAACATTTTTTCTAATTTTTCTTTTATAATACTTCTGATCTTTAACGTGTTTTGCCCAGCATATTTTAAATATGTTTGTCTCGAGGTTGTTAATACTGACTTAAGCACAAGGACCATGGCTTATTTGTCTTCATGTTGGCAGTATGTCTAGCATAGTGTTGGTCAAAGAGCCAGGTAGTAGCAGATCACTCAAGTCTCCTGAGATGGACCCAGTGTTATTTATTCATCATGCTGTGTGTGCCCTGGCCTACATTCACATTGTGAATTAAAAACCCCAATGATGATTGACTCTTAAACTAGCATTTTATTAACAAGTTTTGATTATGAATTAAACTTTTGGAAAATATCTTTCATTAAATAAGTTACTATCTAAAAAGAGTATGTTGATGTTGCTGCTTTGTGTAATATAGGAGTAGATCAGAAATAATGTCTTCTCATTCTGTATTTGTCATTAAAATAATTTTTAATCAATGTGAAATAAGTTGTAGTATTTAAAATGTATTTTTGAAAAAATTTGCTTTTCCTACCCTCTTCTTATTTTTATAAAGTTACCAGGCAGTGATATTGCTAGTGGGAGTGATGTACTTTCTGATGTCATACCCAGTATTCCGAGTTCACCTTGCCTGCTTCCTAAAAAGAAAAACAAGCACCAGAATTTAGATGAACTTCCTTGGAGTGCAATGACAAATGATGAGCAGGTAGGGATCTTGACATTTTTTTAAAGTAGGCTTCACACCTAGCACAGACCCCATGTGAGGCTTGAACTCAGCGACCCGAAGATCAAGACCTGAGCTGAGATCAAGAGTCAGATGTTTAACTGACTGCAACACCCAGGCACCCCAGGATCTTGACATTCTTAATTGAAAACATATATGTAGAGAATATGTGAAGCTCAATGTATTGCTTATTTAGAGCTATTGGATGAATGTGAATAGCTTAATAAAATCGGAATTTGAGTTTTAACTGTTTTTCAGGGAACAAATATAATATTAAGTGCTTTTGATATTTGAAACATGTTATGACACACTAAAATATCAGATTTTGGTGTTGATCTTGTTTATTATAATTTTTCATCACATAGGTGGAATATATTGAGTATCTGAGTCGTAAAGTCAGTACGGAGATGGGTCTTCGGGAGCAACTTGATATTATTAAAATAATTGATCCTTCTGCTCAAATCTCCCCTACAGACAGTGAGTTTATTATTGAGCTTAACTGTCTCACAGATGAAAAACTGAAGCAGGTATGTAAAGAAAATACAGATTGTACAAGTATTAAGAAAACCATTATTTTATAACATGTAGACTGCAATAATCATGTTGAAATACACAAATAATTACGGTCCAAATCACTTCTGTGAAATGTAACATTAGAAAAAATGATGGCAGTATTTATTTGAGAGCACATGGTTGTAAGGTTTTAGGTACATCTCATCTGGAAGTACCTTTCTGGGTTCATGTGGATCTAGAAACTGCTGTTTAGATATGTAGGCTTGAAACTTAATTTCACCACTTAAGGGGTGGTTAATGCTATTTACTTATTCTAACTCACCTTAAAAAAGAACAATTGACATAATCAGAATACTGATTATTGAGGGATGTCTATACTTGAGTTAACATCTGAGTTTAGGGATTTGAGTAGGCCTATGGAGTCATTGAGCCTGGCTAGGGTAAAACATAAATTTCCTTCTGCTCTTCTGATATATGCATTTCTGGCATCTTCTAAATATAGTCTTTATTGTTCTATTTTTCTCTGGTACATAGCTGAATGAATACTTATGTTCTGCTTTCATTTTTTAAAGAGATTTTTTTTGCATTTGTCATCACATAACATTTTTTAATTTCAGTTCTCTCGACAGACATACTATTATTTTCTATATTCCAGCTCATTTTTCATTAGTGTTGAAATTGATGCCTTGCATTTGAAGACAGGTACAATGGGGCCCTAGCTAAGATTTAGGAAACACCCTAATCTTCAATATGATCAGCAACTTAAATCATATTAAGTGGAGACCTTTAAACATGCCTAATCTGATCTATTTTATTTTATTGCTAATTTCTCTGAGTGTTATTTTCTTATAATCCTAAATTCTGGAGGCCAGTAGCCTTCCATTGACTGATTATATTTTATGGTTTTAAAATATAGCTCCATAATAAGTATTCTAGAACTTTGGACATTGTCAATTTTTCTGGTACTTGTTTCTACATTGAGATTTCCTTTTGTCCTTATATTCTACTTATGTACATCTGTAGCATTTTTTATTTGATTTATTTATCTAACAATATTAAGTGTCTATTATGTATTAAGTTATAGGATAAAAAGCACTTTAACAAATGATCCTTGTTTTTATAGAGCCTACAACTCAAGAAAGAGCTTGGATTACAATCTAAGTTCATAAGTTAGTATTCAATAAATGTCAATTTTATTTTTTCATAATTACTGTCTTTCACTTTCTCACTGTTACATATCTAGTTCCAAGTTCTTTTTTTTTTTTTTTTGGTATACTCATCAAAAGCAAGAAATTAACATAGATATAGTATTATTAAATGATCTACAGACTGTATTCAGGTTACACCAGTTTTTCTACTAATGTCTTGTTTTATCTCAGGATCCAATCTAATCATTTTTAAAAAGATTTTATTTCAATTCCAGTTAATATACAGTGACATATTAATTTCAGGTATACTATTTAGTGATTCAGCACTTACATATAACACCCAGTGCTCATCACAAGTGCACTCCTTAATCCCCATCACCTATTTAACCCATCCTCCCACTCCTGTCCCCTCTAGTAGCCATTAGGTAAGCCATCTATGGTTAAGAGACTGTTTCTTGGTTTGCCTCTTTTATTCCCTTAGCCTGTTTGTTTTGTTTCTTGAGTTCCACATATGAGTGAAATCATAAGGTATTTGTCTTTCTCTGACTTATTTTGCTTAGCATAATACTCTCTAGCTCCATCCATGTTGTTGTAAATCGCAATATTTCATTTTTTATGGTTCAGTAATATTCTTCTCTGTGTGTGTGTGTGTTTGTGTGTACACATACTGTATTCATCTTTATCCATTCATTGGTCGATGGACATTAGCACTGTTTCCATAATTTGACTGTTGTAGACAAAGCTGCAATAAACATTTGGGTGCATGTATCTCTTTGAATTAGTAATTTTGTATTCTTTGAGTAAGTACCTAGTACTGCAATTGCTGGATCATAGGGCAGGTCTATTTTTAATTTTGGGGGGACCCTCCATACTATTTTCCACAGTGACTGTACCAGATTGCATTCCCATCAACAGTACAGGAGGGTTCCCCTTTCTCCACATCCTCGACAACACTTGTTGTTTCTTGTGCCTTTGATTTTAACCATTTTGACAGGGGTGAGATGACATCTTCTTGTAGTTTTGATTTGCATTTCCCTGATGAGGAATACATCTGTAGCACTTTGGATAATCTTTTACATGATGTATAATATTCTTCTTTTCTCCAGTATTTTGAGGGAGAACGTCAAGGAGCACTAACCAGTTTTTGTCTTTGTGTCCAAGGTCAGAAACTATATCAAGGAGCATAGCCCTCGCCAGCGGCCTGCAAGAGAGGCCTGGAAGAGAAGCAACTTTAGTTGTGCGAGCACCAGTGGAGTGAGCGGTGCCAGTGCCAGCGCCAGCAGCAGCAGTGCCAGCATGGTCAGTTCTGCAAGCAGCAGTGGGTCCAGTGTTGGAAACTCTGCTTCAAACTCCAGTGCCAACATGAGTCGAGCACACAGTGACAGCAACTTGTCTGCAAGTGCAGCAGAGCGGATTCGGGATTCAAAAGTAAAATGTCTAATCAATACAAAACTTTACCTTTCAATATTAATATTAGTACTCCTTCATATAAATTTTTTGAAAAGTTAAAATTATCTTGTTCTTTAGATGCCAGTGGGTTTTGGCTTTAATTGAACAAGTAGGCTCTTCTGCTGTTGAGTAAAGCTCTTTAGGCTGAGTGCTTTGAAATACCATTTTGACTCACAGCCATATTACATTCAATTTTATCTGATTTTTGTGTCTGTTAAGTAAGATAAATTGATGGAAATAGTCTCAAGATTGCAATATTGACTGCAACTCACTACTGAACCGATCTCACTATGTTGCTGATGTTGCTGTCAGCTCCTAAGAATGTTCTGCATGTCTTGTGTGTGTGCGTGAACTGTTTTCTTAACCTTGAATGTTTGTTCTTAGATCTTTAAAAAATGTAATAACACCTTCTCTATCTTCTACCTATTCACAGTTGAGAAATTCTTGTTAATATTATTGGGCACATAAAAAATAGGGATATATAAGTACATATAGAATGGCTTTTTGATGCTTAGAGGAGTTCAGTTCCTTGCAGTGGGGACAATTTGGAGCCAACGTAAAGATGATAATAGTATCTTTGTAACTCTTTGGGAGCGCAGTGGTAACTAGAAGATACACAGTGATTCCTTCCCTGGCTATTACCAAAGTAGCAGAAACATAGCCAGCTTTGTTGGTTGCTAGGGGATTCCTCTGGATATGTGGTCATTCCTTTTTTCTATCACTTCACCAGTGACAAGGAATAGAGTACCCACTGGTTTTCTAATGGGCTTTTAAGATGGCATTTGCCTAATATGGAAAAGACATGATTCTTTCCCAGCTGTTGTAAAATTGCTAGTGCTTTTGGATGAAAGACACCTTAAAAGCATAAGTATTATAGATTTTGGCAGTGTTCTCCACATTTGTATTTAGTATTGTTCACTATATGTTCACTCAGTAGTGACATCAATGTACCTTAATTTGGTAAAAAAAAAAAAAAAAAGACTTTGAAATGATCGATTATCCATAACTAGTCAAAATAATCAGGTGTCCATCCTTCCTAAGATTCACTGGTCGAATACCATAAAAATAGAATCTTGAAGAACCATTTTCAAGTCCAAGCTAATCGCTCACTTACTGGAACCAGGATCATACTGCAGAGGAATTTGAACATCTCCAAAAATTCTGAAAATACAGAATTAGATCCATAAAATACTCTGGCTTGGATATGCCAGAACTGAACCTTACTGATTGAGAAATTTTTATTTTGGCAGAAGCGATCCAAGCAGCGGAAATTACAGCAGAAGGCCTTACGCAAGAGGCAGCTGAAAGAGCAGAGGCAGGCTCGGAAGGAGAGGCTCAGTGGGCTCTTCCTCAATGAAGAAGTGCTGTCCTTGAAAGTGACTGAGGAAGACCACGAAGCAGATGTAGATGTTTTGATGTAATAAGGGTGAATCTGTCAGCATTCTTTCTAAGCATTAAAATATTTTATCTTTTATTTGTTTACATGCATCTTTACCAAACTTTTGGTTAGGGCTGTGCTGATATACCATTAATAATTTAGGCCAGTGGTTCTCAGGAGGTGGTCCCTGGACCAGCAGCTTCACCATCACCTGAGAAGTTAAAAAGGCATCCTACCAGGTCCCATCCCAGATGCAGTGAATCAGAAACCCTGGGGGAGGGGCCCAGCATTGTGTTTTAACAAGCACCAGGTTTTTCTGCTGCACGCTCTACTTTTAAGAACCACTAATTTAGTAAATGTTTTACTACTTAGACTTTAGGGTGGCTAAGTGGGCTTTTTCAAGAACTAGTACTTTTACAGTTTAGCAGATTTCAAGGTACTGCTGACGAGTAGCTTCTTATGTCAGTATAGGTACATATGTCAAGATCATAATTTAGTTTTTCTTCTGAATGTTACAGTTTCTTAGTTTGCTTTTTCTAAAGGGCCATAGTATAATTCTCAATTCCTAGTGCAAATCTTTTTTTGAGGTTGTGGGCGTGGGGTGTGGATTGCTGTTTACAATAGTGCCTTCATTAAGTTTAGTTTTGTTTTCATTTATTATTAACTCAAAGGTGTAAAAATAGGCCCTAATGTCTTTCCTGTTAGGTTTGTTTCTGGTTTTCACTTTATGTAAATTCAGAATCCTTTCTGTAAGTGATGACTACTGAGGAAATAACGTTAGTAGTATCTTAACTTTAGACTTGATGCTATATTAATATTCAAATGGAGAAAACTAAGCAAAACAGCCAATTCTGCTTTTCCACTGCTTTCTGAAATTTTAGGCTGTGAAACTGTCTCTCTTAAGTTCTTTTTGTAAGTCACTTTTTTTTCCAGCACAGCTCTAATTTTTAAATATTTGGTATAACAGCTTCTGGCATGTGAACAGGCTAATGTTCAAAGTTAACTAAAGAAAACCCTTACAGTTCTCCTAAACTTCTGTATAAATCACAAGAAATACACAGAGCAGTGAGATATAGAAGAAAAGCCTTAGCTTGTTGGCTATTAATAGAAGTCTTGTTTTAGATGTGAAATCATGAAGTTTCTTTATTTTCATGGAGAGTTTGTTATCATGAACATTAGAAGTAGTGTGATTTCTTTTCTTTTACCACATGTCTTTAAACATTCACATGGGTTAAAGAAGATGGAAACTGATACTACTGACAATCAAGCTGCTTTCTGACTTTCGTAATTTTCTTTTTATTGTGGATAACTTTTGGGAGGTAATCATGATTCTGTAGGAGGAGCTGTAATCAATATTTTTTAAAACTCTAGAGTCAGGTTATGTGATAGGATCTTTACTTTTTTAAACTATCATATCAAGTGACTTATTAAGAAAAAGATTAATGACTTAAATTTTTAATTCTCAGTTGATATAAAGGCTTTTAACCTTTGCTTACAATCATGTGTTTTAAAATTTTGATTTGCTTTAGTTCCTTAAAGGTTAAAGAATGGAAACTGAGGGTAAAAATTGATGTATTGCAGCTTTGCTTAGGTCTGTGGTATGGTTTTAAGATTTTGAAGACTACTAAATTCATACTTTAAAATTTTGCTAAAACATAAAAGTATGTGTGTGTGGTCTTCAGTTGAAGTGCTCCCTCTGACTTTCCTCTTACTCTTTCTTTGATGCTCCTAACTGGCTTAGAGGGCCCAAAGAGAGCTTGTGGATAGACCTCAGAATACTCTGAGGAAGGTGGAAAGGGTCAACTTCATTGTATCTTCCCTTCCAAGTCTAGGAAGAGTAAATGGAGAGAAGAGCAAATGCAGCTGAATTCTCTCCCTGCTCTTAGCAAAAGCAAAAATCCAGAGAATGACTTGTCTGTTCTTTTCCCAGGAAAACAGGCCACTTCTGGAGACCATAGAGTAACATTTATTTGTTAAGTACTTGGAAACAATTGACAATGACCAGTAAACGAAAATCCTAACAGGGTCATGATACAGTAAGACCAATTTTTTCACTCTCCCAACAGTCACATAGTCTTCTTACCTTAGATTTAACTTAAGTCACTATTAAACAAGTTTACCAAAACACCACAAAGCCAATTTTAAAAGTTTATAAAGATTTGAGTGTTTATAGTAAAGTATACAATGAGATTTTGTATAAATCTAGATGTCATGTCTTTACTGTAAACTAGAGATTTCCCATAAAGTAGGTTTGAAGGAGACTGATTAAAAGTAAAAAATTAAAACAAGTTGGCTTGTTTGTGATATGGAAGAGGGAGATTATAAAGTCTCTCTCCATCTCCTCCCCCCCCAAAAAAAAACAGCAGAAAAAAGCAAAAAGTTCTTGGTTTTGTTAATGTGCTATATTGTTGTGTTTTTTTTTTTTGTTTTAATGTCTCACGTATATAATTTAAGTTTGAATTATTCTTTCCTGGAATAAGTGATAATTTATTCAGTCTGACATATCTCTGAATTTAAGACAAATCTAACTCAGTATTTTTTTCTCTTTATAAATCCAAACTAACCAATTAAAATGTGAGATTTATTTGCTCTAGTGTCAGTTGTCATCTGTCTCCCCCTTTAAACATAACTTTTGTTAACTTAGGGCATGATAAAGTCCCCTCAAATTTTTCAAAAACATTTTATTAAAGATCTTGTATGTATGTTAATTGTACCTCAATAAAACTGGAAAAAAAGAGTTTTTGTAGAAGTCTGTCAGTCCCCAGCACAGCTTTTTAAAGTATGAACCTTGAATTAAACAAAATGGCATGTCTATTTCTATAGTTTTGCAACTGAATTAAAGTAAGGCAATGTAGTATAAAATTTAGTGGAATTTAGAGGGCCAACTCATTCTGCCCTAACAAAAACTTAGAATAAAGTAACACTTTTTTCCCCCCATGAGATTTATCTCATTTTTTTTGTCAGGCTGTGGCAGTTTTGTCCGTTTCTTCAGCCCTTTGGGTTGACCAGATATTGCTGAATTAATCCCAGAAAAAGACTTGTAATTTAATGACTCTATGGATTGAACAGACATCTCCTTTATTTAGCTCCTTAAAAGTGCTAATTGCCTCTTTAAGGATAAATTCCAAGAAACTAGTGTATAAAGGTATCCAGATTCTGTTGAGCTTTAAAAATTGTGAAATTTATGAAATGTCGTCATGTTTAAGCCAAAAATGTTAGTATATGACAAATATAGAAGTTTCATTTCCAGATTCGTTACCAGAGATTTATGTTCATGGCTTACTTTATAGCCTCATGTGCCTTAAAGGTGAATTCTGTACTTTTTCTGGATATCAGGCTTTTTCAAACTCAAAAATAATCTAAATACTATAATTCATTTTATAAAATGCCCATACTGTTGGGTATCAGTAAGCAAACACATTAAATTGAACCTGATTAGTCATTGGTGATACAATATGTAATAAAACAAGAACCTTTCAGGTCTTAAATTTCATTTATATAATGTTATTTTTGGCCCAGCTAGGTCATTGAAGGACACTGAAAGTTATTTGAAGTATAGCTTAGTCTCTTATTTTTTTCCCCTAAAAAATGTCATAAGCCAGACTGCTTTTTTTAAAACCAGATAATTCTTAGTATCTGGAAATATTATTTTAAAGGCAAAAGTAGTTCAAGAACATAGATTATATAACAGCTTGATTCTCTCGTTATAACTTTGGCATTCTTTGCATTCATTTGTGTAATAGCTGGGACATTCCCCTCCCCTTTAACAATTTTTAGCTCTTGTGTGTTTAAGAAAATGTTTGCTTAGAATGGGAGAAGGTTACTTAAAGTCAGTATATACTTTGAGACAGTTGATGGGAAAATTCCCAGTTACATTCAAATATATTATTGATACTGAGCACACTGACATTCAACATGTCAAAACTTAGAGGTAAATCTAATCCTTAAAAGGACTATTAGTTAGAAAATAAGTATTTGTATACACATGTACTGTGGTAACTTTGGATTCGTTTTAAGTCTGACAAAGTAAGATAAATTCTATCTTTACAATGAAATTATGCTAAGTGGGTATGAGAGAGATACTTAGACCTAGACATCTCTGTCAGCATAGTATGTAGAACAAAGCTCCTTAGAATTCTAGTTTAATTCTCATTTCTTTGGAAAATAGTTTACTTATTCCAAAGGCTTAGAAGGAACTCTGAAAAGTCCTCTAATTAGCTGGCTATTAATAGAGTACAGAAGTTGCATGCTATAGCCGCAGATCTCAGTTGAGTCACTAAAATTTTATTTTCATATTTTCCCTAATATTAAAATTACTTATTTTCAGCCCCTTTCACAGTTATATTTTCAATTCAGGTTATTAATGCTAGATCACATGATGCTAAGTTAATTTTTGACATTCATGCTGGACTCTGAAAAACTGGTTTGGTCTTCTCTTCTTTCATAATGCAGTATTTTTTCTTATAGTCAAGTTTGTTACATCTTATTGTCAAGTCTGTTACATCTTTGTGGTCATTGGAACCTGTGGAAATCTGTGTTCTTTTTTTGTGGTGAGGGATAGGGGTAGAAAAGAGGAGAATTGCCCTAATTATACATACTCATTTTGACTATATAAAGGTAGTTGTAGAATCAATATGCATAAATGACATGTTAACACTTACCTACTCTGGATTGTTCTAAGGAACAGTGGCCTGAAGTGATAGCTTGTTTTCTGGAGCTGCTTGCTCTTCAATAGTAGCTGACCAGTTGGATTTTAAGTTTAGACTTTGGGGTTAGGTTATCTAGCTGAGGCTTTTAGGACTGGAGCAGACTATGTCTGTTCCTGTAGTGGATCCATTTATTTTCCTCTTTGTGTACTCTTATTTGGGTATGAGTATTATCCATTCTAAATCTTGGTGTTGGGAGTTTAATTGGACTGTTGTCAAAAGCTATTTAAATAAGATAAACACAAGTATATGTAGAACACTTCACAAATGTTTAACATTTTCACACGTTTTAGTTTCAAAGGTTAGTTATGTAGCATCAATTTCATAACCAAAGCAAGTAGGAAGTTGACTGGTTTGGAGAATCTTCAAGTAGTCTTAAATCCTGTAACGTATCAGATTGTTAACCAGGATTTTTGTCCTGTATTTCTGCTAAACGTATTACTATATTAATGCACTTTTGTATATATAACCGTCTTCTGTACATTCTGTACTTACTGAAGTGTATATAAAAGCTGTTTTTCCTGAGGCTGTAGGGGAAAAAACAATAGCTGTAACAACAAGTTGTTTCTATTTTGAGTTGCTTCTTGTACTTGGAAGTAGTAGTTCTGTAGTTAAATCTAAATGTGTATGTATGGTTGTAATTAAGACTGGCAATGTGGCAGAGCTGTCTTTTGAAGCTGAATATCAGACTGAACAGTGTTGTTTTGGGTATTGAAAACTCTTGTAGTATTTTCATTGTTTCTTTTGATGTACCATGGGTTTCTACAAAACCCACTGCTGCTTACTACTTCATACTTCTGAATCTACTCCTTTACATGTTCCATCCCAGAACATTTATCAACAGAAAAGAATGAGGTCTCCTCTCTTTTGCTTACGGTTTGGTTAAGATTCCATAAACTTTTGTTTTGTGAAAGCCCCAATTTCCCAATTGTCATTGGCAAATCATTTTTTCTTCCTGGGGAGATCAGATTTCTAGAGAGATTAGCATTCATAGTAAGTTGGAAATTAGGTCTTACTTTTGTTTATAGAAAATCAGATCTATTTTCCTTATATATTAATCTAGAATCTTTTTAGATTATAATTATATGAAAGAAATGTCTGAGCAGTTTTACATAGTTTCAGAAACAATTCAACTTTCAGCAGCAACTTTATCTCTTGCCACTAGAGGGAGGTCTGTGATTGCTCTCCTTCAGAAATGTCTTAGCTGCTTTTCTTTTGTTTTTAATTTCAGAGGTTGGAATCCACCTCATTTTCAAAATTCCTTTTGTGATATTAAATACTTTCATTTATTATTGAAAGGTAAGTTAATTGAGCTTGTTTAATAAGGCAAGTCTTATGCTTTTCTGTAATCTTCAATTTTTAATAAACGTGAGTTAGATATTAAGTGAAACACGTGTGTGTGTGTTTTTCTTAGATACTTTAGAACTGTACTGTCCATTATAGTAACCACTAGCCATATGTGATACTTAGTTCCTTGGTCCCATTAGCAACACTTCCAAGTGCCCAATAACCACATATGGCATAAGATTACTGTATTAGTAACCCCAGTATACAGAACGTCTTCACCATCAGAGGAAGTTCTAATGGACAGTACAGTCTAGAGATCTGATGGTTTATGTAGCGACCACTGTCATCATTTTACCACTGAACAGTACTCAGTGATTCAAAACTGCTGCCCATAGTTAACTGTCATAGGTGATTGGTGTGGGAGGGAGAGCAAGATGTGTTTCACTTTACTACTTCATTAAAGCCACTACCAAAGTTGAGACGTTGGTGATTTAGTGGAGAAATTTCTCAAATACATAGCATTTCACTTGAACTCTGAATAAGATTTCTTAAAGACTCCATTAAAAAAAAAACTGCTTAGAGTGTTTCTTTATTCTTGTGATGTAAGAGCCTTAATAGAGTAAAAAAGCCACTGTTACTTGAGACTGACAATCCTCTACTCTCTCCCTATCAGCCTGAATCTTATGGTTAAGTGGTATTTTTATATTATTTGTGTTTCTTAATAATAGATTGATGAATATTCGATTAGATACAATGTTACTTCCCTTTGTATTGGGTAACATTTTTAACATTCCAGTTTACGCATTTGGTTACCAGGCTCCCATTATATGCTTTTTACCCCTTAAAAACAGCAGATAATGGAATGTATATATTTTCAGGTTTGTCTTATAAAAATTGTCAGAACAGCGAAATGAATCCCCACATACCCATATATACTTCCATTCTTGTCTTATGCCAATCTTGTTTCTTTTGACCTCCACCCCCAGACACTCCCCTTATCTCAACTTCCAATGATACTAAAGCTAACCCCAGGTGATAATTTCATTTTTAAATGTTTCAGTATCAGATGTTTAAAATATAAGGACACTCCTATTTTATACATAAATATGACCATATATCTTTATAAATAAAAATAATTCCTTAATATCAAATGTCTAGTTTACTTGCTTGAGATCAAAACCATAACCATTAGTCTTTTTATTTTTTTAATATAATTTATTGTCAAATTGGCTTACATACAACACCTAGTGCTCATCCCAACAAGTGCCCTCCTCCATGTCCATCACCTACTTTCCACTCTCCCCCACCCCCCCATTAACCCTCAGTTTGTTCTCTGTGTTTAACAGTCTCTTATG